AGAGTATTTGGCTGTGTGGCCTATGCTCATATTAGGCAAGACAAGGTCGAACCTAGAGCTCTGAAATGCATGTTCATGGGATACCCTGAAGGAGTCAAAGCTTATAGGCTATGGTGCCTAGAGCCAGGTCACAGGAGGTGTATCACAAGTCGAGATGTAGTTTTCAACGAAGCAGAGATGGCTTTCAAGAAAACTGATGATGTTGACGAAGAGCTGGAACAGGGAGAGATTCCTGTTGAGGTGGAGCATGTTGATGCTGAATTGCTTACCCCAGATGAAGTCGAAGAAGACACAGAAGATGTTGTCAAAGATGAGGAGACTAATAATGACTACCTGCTAGCAAGAGACAGGTCGAGGAGAGTCATCAAGCCACCTCAGAGACTTGGGTATGCAGATCTTATAGCTTATGCCTTAATCTCTGCAAGTGAGGTTCTAGACGAAGAACCTAGAGACTATAAGGAAGTTATGAGGAATCAAAAGAAGACAAATTGGTCTTTGATGTATGTTATGGTTTGTACTAGACCCGACATAGCATATGCAGTAAGTCTTGTAAGTAGGTACATGGCGAATCCTAGAAAGGCTCACTGGCAAGCATTGAAGTGGATTTTAAGGTACATAAATGGGTCTCTAAATAGAGTCCTAATTTATGGTGGAGCCTTAGGTGAAGATAGTAAAGCAGCAATCGATGGATATGTCGACTCTGATTATGCAGGTTGTATGGATTCCAGAAAATCTATCTCTGGATATGTGTTCACTATGTTTGGGACAGCAATCAGTTGGAAAGCAACACTTCAGAAGGTCGTTGCCCTATCAACCACTGAAGCAGAGTATATTGCCCTAACTGAAGCTGTGAAGGAAGCATTGTGGCTTGAAGGTTTTGCAAAGGAGCTAAAACTTCAAGGTCGAGTTATCACTGTTAAATGTGATAGTCAAAGTGCAATACATCTGTCGAAGAATTCAGCCTATCATGAGAGAACCAAGCACATTGATGTGAGGCTGCATTTCATCAGAGGGGTAATTGAGCGTGGAGAAGTCCAAGTGCTGAAAGTTTCGACAGATCATAATGCTGCTGATATGATCACCAAGACATTGCCCAGTTGCAAGTTTCTCCACTATATGCAGTTAATAAATCTGCATGAAGAAAGCTAGTTTCTTGATGTTATAGAGTTAGATCCAAGGTGGAGATTTGTGAGACATTGGATCGAACTCTAGTATGGTCGAAGTCTGTTCGCAAGTAATGCGTGTTGTAGTCGAAGTTTGTTCTAACATGCATGAGTAAATATTGCTAAGGTTGTTAGCATGATTAAATATTGCTAAGGTTGTTAGCATGAGTAAATATTGCTAAGGTTGTTAGCATGTGCTATTTTATTATAAATAGGATGCTAGTTTCTCAATCTTAGCATAAGGAAAAATAAGTAGATAAAATCCTAATTTCAAGGGAGAGAGGTTATTTTGTTATTCTTGTATACTTGTAATCTTGTTCTAAGAGAAAGGAAAGAATAGCAGTTTAATAACCAATCCTTGTTGTTCCTTGTTACTTTTTTCTTTATTAACCCTAACCCTTGTGTGTTTCTTGATAAGAAACTGTGTATACTTTGTTTAACGGTATCCTATTCACAACATTCTGATTTATACCAATTAGGTAAACTAAGTTATTATTAAAGGACAGAGGAAATATTGCTTGACAGGGAAACTCCAGCCTCAATTATGAGTTGATATATTTAAATGGTTCAAGTCATTTAACTAATTGATTTAAGGAGTACATAACTCAATAACTCATCACGTGTTTTATAGCTGTGGCTTGTCCTTATGTGGTGTTTTATATGTTTGTGGGGTTACATTGATAAAGGGATTGTCCTTATGTGGTGTTTTATAGCCTCAAGTGATTGCCTTTTCAAAACATAAATAAAGTGATAACAGGAAAATAAAAGATCCTTAATCCAAACCTTGCTTATCCAAGCCTTATTATACATGATCAATGAAAAACACATACTTTGAATCTTTGATAGCATAAGTAGTCACAAACATAGACATACATAATAACTAAAACCTTATTATATGGTTGTCATAAAAATAAGCAAGTAATCAGAAAATGATTGGAAATCAATTACAAGCCATATATAATGAACGCTTTGATCTCTTCAAGCCCAGTACAGCAAAAAGTATTCCAATGTAGTTTAAATTGTAAGCTTCTTCAAGTAGTTGAAACTTGGTAAGATTCCATGGAGGAAACCTGAATCAAAAATCAGTGTAGTAACTTCTCCTAGCCACAGCTTTATAGTGACTGAACAAATCAAATGAGAACTTCCCATGATACTTTCCAAATCCACATTCACCAACTCTTCCAAATGGCAGGGTATCTGCCACATACTGCACAAAAATAAAGCAGACTGACCAGACTCTGTTTAGTAAAAATAGCGGTTAGAAAAAAAACTCATCATCGTCTGAATACCTGTAGAATTGCATCATTGAATACAATACTTTTGGATGATGTTTCAGATACCAATCTTTTCTGCAAAGTTTTGTTTTTTGTGAAGGCATAAATAGCTAGAGTTTTAGCCTTTGAGTTTACGAACATTGAAGCTTTAATCCAGGAAATTAACATCAGACTGCATTGAAGCTTTTTAAAGTATTTCCTACAAATATATGTCATAGTGTAGTTGACATGTCTTAGAAAAGGAAAAAGCAAATGTACCTTGTAGTATATTTTAAGCTTTGAAACTTTGGATAAAGTGTGTCTTAGGTAGCTTTCTTGAAAAGAGAGCAGTGGCAATTATTGAAGATTTGACCAGAGCATGGCCGGTTTTCTGAGAATCTGTTAGTATGAAATCGAAAATATTGATTGCTTCTTGAAGGAAGCTAAAAGAGGTACTTCTTCAAAGGTCTTTCTTGAAGCCTTGCATTAAATATTAAAAAATTAGACATTCATAATTGAAAAACCATCTATACTGAAAATAGGCAAATTTCATTGCAAAATACTTTTCAACCAAAACATGTTTACTCAGCTAATAAAAGTCATAATAAACATGCTTTTAGGAAAAATAGCATGAATTGAAAAGTATCCTCCAACAATTGAAATATAGTATCACTTTAAAAGTCAAAATAATAGCATGATTTGAAAACTCAGTTAAAAAACTTTTCAACAAAAGTAATAAACTCAAAATTTTTCCAAACTTGCAAAGTATGATGTTTTTGGGAAAAAAGTATTGTGATAAATATGCCTTGAGCCAAAACCTGGAAGTGTCTATGTAATTATTAAAAACACTTTGTTTTAAAACCATATCAATATACAGATTAAGTGTAAATTTAAACCATATACACACTAAGAGTACATTTTTTAAACATATCAAAATATTAAGAAAGTTGTAGAATGTGAGGATAGATGTGGTAAGTTTCAAAGGACAGTTGGTAGAAATGATAAATGTATGCATAAAACTTGGAAGACTCATTATACAAAAAGTGGTTCATTAAACTTGGAACATTCATTACAAAACTAATAATGCAGGTTTTAATTTGTTCCAGCTAGATCAATAAGAAAACATTCAAAATGACAGACCAAAGTAATAATATGGCTTACGGTTTAGAATCAATCCATATTCAAATGGTGTCAACAAAATAATAAAAAAGGCAACAAAATGAGAGGCTGGCAATGGTAAGGCCATAAAATCACTCCTTGTTTGGGTGTTTAGCTTTAGTTGGTGGACTCCAAGTTTGGTTGGCAGAGTTGGATGGTTGAGCAGAGATGGAATATTCACTAGTTGGTGTCTTCTACACATAAATACAATAACAGTTAACAGTTATGGACATAAATACAATACCAGTTGGTTGAGCAAAGGATGATGTAAAAAAATAAAGAAATAGTTATATATAACTGAGGGCATACAATAGGTGGGTCTTGAAGTTCCATTGGAATGGATGTGTCCAAGTTCAATTTTTCAGCATTTGAAATATGCTGGAAAAAAATTAAAACCCATTATCCAATCATTAAGGATTATGCTGACCTAATCCATAATAGATGTAGTGGAAAGATATGGTATGTACCTCATCAGGGTTAAGCAAGTTGTTCAAGGTTTTGTAGACATCATCATCCTTAACGATGGTAACAATTGAGTATTGTTAAAAAAAGATTGATACTTGACTCGAAATGCTAGTTCTTTGTTCAACAATTGGTCAAGCTGTGCTGAATATATTTTAGGGTTGTCCTCTCCAGCCTAGGTCAGAAGCATGGTTGGAATGTTAAATAGCATAATGTAACAGAAAAATGAAAATATTATGAAATGTTAGTTTTGAAGTACATACCTCCTTCATGAGTTGTCTTAACTCTAGAGTTGTCATTTGAATGAAAGGGATACAATCCTTATCCCAAAACACAAAGCACCAAACATGGTTGTCATAGTCAACCTCAACTTCTATTTTGAATCTAAAACATGAAGAAAATAAAGTGACTTCAATTGAGTTCAGTTTGTGAATACACATGAGGGCATAGATGTATATTTGGGTGATAACTTACTTAGTGATAGGTTCCACATCTTTCACTCCACAAATGCACTCAAAATTCTTTCCATGTGACTTGTTAGAGGTCTTGCAAGCAGGGCAAGACTCAAAATACCATCCAAACTTGGAAGCTTTGAATCTCTTTGTAGTGCCAATTGTCGTGGCAAAACAATCTTTTCCTAATTCATTGATATGACGAATAGTCTTGACCTCATTGGGGATGGTCCAACTTTTGTTTGTTGATTGAACAGATAAATCACATGTTTGACTCAGAGAATGTGAGGATGCAGTTGATAGTTGTATTGAACCACCACTGTTATGCATTAAAAAATTAGATTTTTCTATCATAATGTGACAGAAGTAAAATGTTGTATAATGCTTCCACTGGTATGAAAGTTAGAATACAAAACTGTTATGCAATTGAACTACACAGCTTTAATATGAGTTGGGTTACAAAATATGAAAAACTTACTACCTGGATTTCAAGCACTGAACTTGGGAATGATCTAGGTTAATGTGAAGTCTAGAGCCATTCCAAGCATTTGAAAGCTTGGGGGTGTAGAAGCTGATGCATAGACAAAGACATGTAGTTAGAGTGCATGAGAAAGAAGAACCGTTGAACAATGAAAAAATAGAGTTTGTCTAAGAGCATAGCAAACCTGAATTTTTCTTACACCAAGCATGTGTCAAAATAAGTATTGTTGGACCATCATTCTTGTTAGAGTTATTGTAGTTCATAAATTGTTTACCATAATCATCCCATAATGCAACCTCAATGACATTACTAGGTTCCTCACGCAGGATGATATTGGCGCATGGTTTCTTACCACCACCACCCATTTGAGTTTTCACAACATCTTGTAAAATTCCGATCACATCTGAAGCATCAACGAAAACATAATGAACATATATTGGCTACAAAGATTTTTTAGTATGCAAAAAGGAAAAAAATACCATATAACATATCAATTTGGAAAAGTCCATTGAGAAAGTCTCCAATAGTTTTGAATTTGAACTGATGCAGAGGTATTTCCGGCATGACAATGTTTGAAATTGTTGTTCCTCCATTAAAGACAAGTTTAAGACTATTGGAACAAACTTTGAATGAGCCATCATTAACCACCAGTTCTCCATTATAAACGGCGTAAGTGTCATGTTCCTTAAGTTGCTCAACCCACTCCTTGAAATCTTGGTTCCTCGTCACAACATGAATTTGATCACCCTGTTATATCATTTATTAGATAGCAACAACAAAGTGATATAAGTGCATCAAAAGTCGCCAAGTATTACCTTTCCATCTTGTATGACCAACTCGAGATGTTGTTGGCCACTTTTCTCCTTAACAACCCAAAGATCAACAACGCGTACGTGCATTTTCCAAACTTGATTACCTTTCACCAAATCCTTGATAAAGATTGGAGGTCTTGACATGTTTGAGATAGAAACTGAACAATGTATCACAATGACAAAGCAGGTCATACATCAAATAATAACTCAAAATAAAAGCTCACAAAAATAACAGGGCAAAAACATAGCTCACAAAAATCTTAAGACTGATTTTTTAAAAGTACTTCCATGACAGTAGACAAAAGTTATGATGATAAACACATGAAAAAAGATGCAATGTGATGTGGGACGGTTTATGCATCATGTGAAAATATAAGTAAACTTGTTAAAAAAACGTGAGACAATGGTGGTGGACATGTGAAATATTTCTGTCAAACTTATTTTAGGCCTTGAGTTCTTTAATATGTTGTGGTGATATTTTGAACACATGATGAAACACTAACCAAACCATTGTCAAAAAACACTTATCATAGAGAAACACTAACCAAACATAATGAAATATTGTTGATATTTTAACATGAATAAGTCAAAAAACAGAAAACAAACACTCATATCTTGATGATGTTTGAAAAAAAACACATCCTTTTTAAAGTGATAAACTACACATGAGAAACCATTTGTTACTGTCAAACACTTCATAACAGTTGAATTCAAAACACGCAATGCTGGTGGATCTGTCACAAAATAAACACTAACCAATAAACAATCATTTATGGTTGACAAACATTACCACATTCCAGACATATTGAATAAAACTGTGTTACATTGAACTAACCTTGTAAGAGAATGGAAGTTGGAAGAATGATTTCTTGAGAATCTACTATCTAACCTTGTAATATATGCTGAGATGTAGTGGACACAAATGTTCTTGAAGTGAAAAGTGAGAGACTTAGTGAGCAAAATGAGGTTTTATGGCATATCTAAAAATCATTTTGGAGCGGTATCCGATGAACATGGAAATAGGGAGAAAACATTTTGTTTAAGTGCAACAAACCAGAAGATGACACGTGTGCTGTAATGAGGAGGATGGAGTGGTGAAATAGTGCATTTTGTTAATTACTGAAAAACCCTTTTAGTAGTGTAAAATTTTGTTGCTGAAAGGGTAAGATATGCAATGCATTCAGTAGTTTAGTATTAGTTAGCTAATAGATATATCAAAAATTGATTTTCAAAATTGAAAGTCAAAAAGTCTCAACAATAATTCCTCCTGCTCTATTTTGCTTTTTTTTTCTTCGAGTTTTTACAGGATCGGTATAAAAAAAAAAGGGATATGTCTCCTTGTCATCTCTATCTAATGTGACAAAGTTTCTATCAATCAAGAAAGAAAGCAATGTTTGTATAGAAAAATACAATTTAAACCTCGTTAAAAAATCATAAATATATGATGTTATAATATAAAATGAACACGTTATTGTAGCCGTAGGGTTCTGGACACAAGCTAAAAATAACTTAATCATTCAATGACTTATTATGGTAAGTAGGGATGTAAATTTATTTTGGGCGCCAGTTTGATTGACAATTTGAACTAGTTTGGCGTGCAATTATTTTTGACGATATATGATATCTAAAACAAAATTATAGCAATATAATAAAATATTTAAACTAGTTTAATAATGCTTTTAATTTTTGATATCTAAAACAAAATTATAGCAATATAATAAAATATTTAAAGATATTTTTGAGAAGTTATTTTTAAAAATATTTTTAACAAAAATATAATATTATAAATATTAATTTAGAAAAACTTTAATAAACGAGGCATTAAACTAAAAATATAACTTATGTTTAAATAGTTGATAAATACAATTAAAATAAAATTATTTTTTCAAAATATTTATACAATATTAAAACATACTACTATCCAATTACAGTTCCGTGATTGAAATGAATATTAAACTCATCAACGTCAAGGCAATCTAAAAAGTTGTATATTAATATTCTATTCCATCACGTCTCATATAAAATCTAATGCATCACATTAGTATAAAAGGCCAGTAAGAAACCATTTTCTATACATAAATAAACCATTTTCTATACATAAAAAAATGGCAGAATCTTCATCATCCAAAAGCAGTCTTAGGTTAGCAGGCAAAGTAGCCATCATCACGGGAGGTGCCAGCGGTATTGGCAAAGAAACGGCGCATCTCTTTGCTAAACAAGGTGCTCGTATGGTGGTGATTGCTGATATTCAAGACAAATTGGGAATTCAAGTGGCTGAATCTATTGGTAACGATAAATGTATATTTATTCATTGTGATATTAGAATTGAAGATGATGTCAAAAATCTCGTTCAATTAACTGTCGATACTTATGGACAAGTAAGTACAATCCTATATAAATTTACTTAAAAAAAATGTTATATAAAAAAATGTTATTGATGTGTTTTTTTTGTCCTCAACGTTGAATTTTTATACTTTTTTTCTTCCAGATAGATATTATACATTGCAATGCTGGGATTCTAAGTCCAAGTAATCAAACCTTGTTGGAACTCGACGTTTCTCAAGCTAACGGAGTGTTTGCAACTAATGCTATAGGAACGGCACTGTGCGTAAAATATGCTGCCCGCGCGATGGTGGCAGGTAAAGTAAGGGGTAGCATTGTATGCACAGCGAGCGTAGCTGGTAGCTACGGTATCGGGGCGTGGACAGATTATTCGATGTCAAAGCATGCAATAATAGAATTAATGCGTTAAGCGAGTGTACAACTTGCAAAATATGGTATAAAAGTGAACTCTGTATCACCAAATGGATTAGCAACACCATTGACTGAGAAAGCGTTAGACACAGATGCAAAGACTGTGGAAGAGATTTTTTTAAAATATTCGATGTTGAAAGGAGTGGTTTTAAGGACTAATAATGTGGCAGATGCTGTGTTGTTTTTGGCATCTAACGAGTCTAATTTTATCACTGGTCTTGATCTTCGTGTGGATGGAAATTATATTACTAATGCCGATATTATTTGAAGGATAAACCAAAATAATTCTAAATTGGAGTGTTACATACACAATGTTAGCACCTAATCCATATTATGAAATAAATACAATAAAAGAAATATAATATAAAAAAAGAATGGTATAATTTTAACATTTTAATCTGATAAATTATGTTATTTGTGTTTTTCTTACGGCATGTGTGGTCCATACTCGATTAATTGTATCATTTTTTTTATATATTTTAAGTTTAAGAGTTTAAATTTGAAACAATACTATTATTGGATAAAGTTTTTTAATCTTAAAATTATTAAGATTCAAACTAGGATGTTTAGACAGTTATATATATATATATATATATATATATATATATATATATATATATATATATATATATATATATATATATATATATATATATATATATATATATATATATATATATATATATATATATATATATATATATATATATATATATATATATATATATATATATATATATATATATATATATATATATATATATATATATATATATATTAAAAGGACTATTACGATGATTGGTCCGATAATAAAACTACCACGAGTGGTTTATGGTGTTATTGTAATGATTTTTCGACGAATAAAGAAAAATATTTGTAAAATAAAGTTAGCATGTTGATCACTATTAAGGAAAACATATATAAAAACAGTTGCGAAACATATATAATGACAGTTTCAAGTTCGTTGTTAGGCAACTTTGATTATATGTATGGTGCATTACTAAAAATAAGAAATTTGGTTAAATGATTTTACATCAGATTTCAAGATATATGATGTAAAAAATATTTGTCAAAGAATTATACACCAGGTTACATAACAATTTGAAGTGAAAAATATTTCGTTTAGGAATTTTACATTAGACACATATTTTTATTGATGTAAAAAATAATGTAGTGGCAGTTTCGTAAATAATATGAAGTTTTATTATAAAGGATTTTATATCGGGTCTGGATTTGCACCCATATTATTAAGTCTTTTGATGGAGAAAAATAATAAGAAGGCAGTTTCGTAAATAATATGAAGTTTTGTTATAAAATATTTCTCATCGGTCCTTGATTTGAACCTGATGTAAAACGTGAGTCTTTACATCGAACCTAGTAGCAACCGATGTGAAAAGTCAATTTTTACTTACAAACTCAAATATCATTTCTTTTTGTTTTTTCACGCCTCACTAACCCTAGCAGTTGCGATCTCAAATCTTCATCTTTGTCTCCATCACCGTAAATTTTCATCTTCTTCTCCAGCACCGTAAATCTTCATCTCCATCATCGATCATTAAGAGAGAGACAAAACTATATACAAGAATAACATTATTTTTACTTTACGGCATACCGTTTCGTTATCCCTTTGCTATTCAAAGCCAATTTTCTTTTGATTCTGACTACTGTAACGAAACCAACAACAAACCTCTTCAATTTTAATCATTTACCCTTTTGCTTTAAACCAAACTCACAATGATTTCCTTCGTTACCGAAAGATATGTGATTCATGACCAAATGATTGTATGCGTGAGACAGTAAGAGAAATGTGACCGGATTGGGGTCGGAGTTGTGGTATGTGGTGGCTGCGGATGCGGTCACGTCGATGATGTGCGGCACGGTGCTGGACGGATGGCGATCGTCGAAATCACCTTGACTTCTGATTTTATTTGAGGCGGATTTAAGACTTAATGTCAAAGGATTAAGGGTTGTTTACATTTTGAGTTTGTTTATGATTTATTTCTGTTACTGTTTTGATTTTTGATTGTTTCTCAACTCTAGTCCGTTTGAATCCCGATTCAGATTTGGTTTTGTTTTGATTTGTATCTGTGACTTCAATTAGAATGTAAAAAAAGTGTGTGGGTTATTTATTAGAGTTATGAATAAAAATGGTTCCGTTTCAGATTTGAGATAAGAAAAATTGAAATTGGAAACAGAGAGTTGGAGATCGGAGTTCACTTTTGCTATGATGGCGGATGATGGCGGCGGCTGCGTATGAACTAGAATCAGAGAAGACTCTTTCCTCTTTTATGTCCTTTTATTATTACTTTCTGCTACTGTATTTGTGATTATAGATTTATACGTAATGTTTATGGTTGGATTTCCAACACGTTGTGCTATGGATAGGACTA